AAAATATTTATTTCTGCCTTATTCGCAGACTCATTCGTCAGAAATACCATTATTTGCGCAATGATATTAAAAGGTGATTTAAAAGGCTTCCAAGAAAACTTTGAAACATTTTTTTAAAAGGATCGGATACCGCCCGCTGTGAGCGGGCCGGATGGGGAGCATACTGCCCGCTCTTGGAACCAATCAGATTGCAGGATTTGTAGAATACCGCCCGCTCACGAACTGAGAAAAAAAAATAAAAGTTGTTATTTTCAGTTCGAAGAACTAGTAAGAATACAATCAAGGGCGGTCAATTGTCACCCCGACAGGGAAAAAAGAACAATTATCGAACCAACTGGTGACTATCTGAAAAATATCAGTATGCGCTCGACAAGGGCGTTTCAGGGCAAGTTTAATCTACAATGGTTTTTTTTCTTTCTAATCCAGTAATTTACAAAGATTCAAGAACAAATGTAAACAAGTGTATGACTATCTGCAGCACGTAGGAAAACTTTATCGTGCAACATTGTTGGACGGTGTCATGAAGGAGCCGGCCAAACTATCGTCAACGCCCTACCGTACGCGCTCAATATCCTGCTATAACAAAATGTTAACAAAAATTGTATCATTCAGCATCATCCGCCGCCCGGTAACAACTCGCTACTGGGTTACCAAACGCGTACAGCACTCTAAGCGTCACTTTGTAAAATGCTACGATAGAGATACTATTGCCCGCTTGGTCGGTGTAAGATGGGAGGGACAGGGAGGTCGAGAAATGCAAGGTCAAAGAGGGGAAAACGAGAGAAGTTTGCAGGATCAACCCCCCCCAACTCCCTTCCTCGTTAGCCCGTTGCGATGACTAACCCCTGCTGTGTGAAAATTTATGTTCACTCTACGGTTTCTCTGTCAAACAGGGTCTTGACTTTTAACATCTCATCTACATCTGAGTGCAATAGCACGGTTCACTTGAAACGCTTTCAACCTCCTACATAGATTAACTTTCTCATTGAGAATTAAATACTCCATGTGTATGTCTGTAGGGTCATAAAAAAATGTCAGTGAAGGACCTTGCAAAACGAGTGATTTATACTGACTCCTTTTTTAGGGCTTGCAAAAACCTGTGGGGCTATTTTTATTGCTCCTCTAGAAGTGTGTCTGATGCTACATTGAAGGAATACAATTTTTAAAATCAATTCTTACTACAATGGGTGCCAGCCTGTAACCAAACAGTATAAACCCGCTGAAAGCCTACCTGCCCACCCCTGACAATCAAGCTAGTATGCTTCCTGATATTTAAATAAGAGCAAAAAACAACTGCTGTATAATTAACATGGAGTTTTAATTTCTGTTATTCACATGTTTGCACAAGTTAGGCTGCATGCTGTTTCTTCCAGGCAGCAAGGGGACCGTGATCTGCCATGTACTTTGCAATTACTCCATCTGGTATAAGCTTGCCAGAAGCACGCCACTCCTCATAAACTTCACGATCAAACTTGGTGAATCCCCACTTCTTAGACACATATATCTATATAGGAAAAAAATTGTCTATGTTTAGAGTTTATTTCACTTTGATAACAATATTAGAGCTGTTCAGAGAGCCACCTTTATCAAGTGCTCAATTTCTGTCAACTTTCAACACCCAGACATTGCTTTTAGATTGCTCTAAGACAATTTTTGAAGATGGCACAGTTTTGATAACGTTTTTGCTTCATTTAAGATTTTATCAAATGTTAACACTTGAGTGAAAAGTTATTATTTACAAGCCTGATCCCAACCAAGTAACAAAAAGAAATGACCTTCAACTGTCATAGCACTTTTAAACTGATATCAACAGATGACTGTAAATATGTGAAAATCATATATGTGAACTAGAGTTGAAGAAACAAATATGGAAGTGATCCTCACAGCTATGAATACTACTTAAGTAGTGGTGAATATTAGGCCCCCAAACAAATTTGGACTTGTACAGGATTTGAACCCATGACCTGCACCAGTATTGCAGAGGTCATGGGTTCAATCCCCTAGTAGCCTGATTTTTTTTAAGGCCATATTTTCACTACTACTTAAGTTGTGTTCATAACTGCAGGGATTGCTTTCATATTCATTTGATATCAACAGTTTTTTCAACTCAACATAGAAGAGCCATTTGAGTTAAGCCATCCCTACATGATGTTGGTTTTTCTGCATCTTCAAGGCTCTTAGGCTTCAAGATTTATTTTTTTTCAACACTGCAAAGTGCATTTTAACTGAACATAATTCATGGTACCAGTAAATGCTTGTATTGGAAATGTGGCTGGTAATTGCTTGAATACAGACCTTGTCAAAGGGGAATTGTAATCTTCTCATAACCTGTCATTTCCTAGCCAAGAGGGCCTGCTAAATGTGGAGATGCCTAAAAATTATTTTACCTTTTGCCTTCCTGGAAACTTGAACTTGGCTCTTCTTAAGGCTTCAATGGCAGCTGCCTTGTTACCATCCTTTGTTCTCAAAGACATGATGACTTGGCCAATGTTGACACGTGCCACAGTGCCTTGAGGCTTCCCAAAGGCACCACGCATACCTGTCTGGAGCCTAGAAAAAGAACCACACCAAGACTTGTAACTGAAGCTATGTTTGTTACAACTACTTAAAACAAATGATTACAGCTGGTTGCTAATGAAACAAAAAAATTAGGTTTTGATATTTTGAATTAGAAGGCCACTATCTCAATTATTCCCAGGAAAAACTTACTGCATTTCTCTCCTCCTCAAGTTTCTAACATTAAAAATCAGTTAGGTCAGAAATTAAGACTAGATCAATATACAATGACCTCCACTAAAATTTTTGTTTGCTTAAGCTGGTTGGAAAAGGAACCATTGATAAACAAGATTTATCACAGTCACTTGCTGAACAACTTGAAAACTTGCACATGAAAACATTTTTCGCTTTTAATTGTTCAAGGCATAAAAAAATTATTTGACTTGAAAGCCCCATCAAAGTACTGATATTTCCTAAGTTTTAACCAACTGTCATAATGGTCTCTGAAAGAGTTATAAGGTCTGTTATAATACAACTTGAGAAACATGTCTGAGAATGAATGAAAAGTCAAACAGAAAAAATGGGAACTAAGGATACCCAAGAAACCTGCATCCAAATTCCTACACCCAAAACCAAACAACAGCACAACCTGCATTTCCATGCCAAGGGCTTTAATTTAAAATTTGGCTTGGTAGGTACTGCCACTATTTAAGTTAGTTTTGTTCAGGGGCCAGCATGAAATCAAGAAAAATATATCATTTCATTTTCTTGCTGCCAACAGACACACATCTTAAAAGTAATCAGACTCACCTATCAGCTCCAGCACACGACAACATCTTATTGATCCTGATAACATGGAATGGATGCAGCCTCATGCGCAAATGAAAAGAATCCTTTCCACAGT